CCATTTGACTTCTTTTTTGAACGTATAAATTTCCAAAAATATTTAGGATCATTAGATAACTGAAGTTCTGTTCGTGAAATGTAGTTATTGTAAGCTTCAGAAATACGAGTTTTACATACCTTACGAATTCTGTCAAACTCTAGGTAGTCCTCAAACCTATGAGACATTTTGTACTTTTTATGAGCAATTTTCTTTTTTTTTACAATACTGATTATATCACGGTTAAACCAACAGGGATAACTATGGCTAATCTTAGACTTTAATGGTATGCAACCAATTATACATGTGCATGTCCGCTTCGCTCGAATTGTGCAAGAAACATTGACCCGAATAAAATATTCAGTAGAACTAGACTACGGAACAGACGATTACTCCAAGGTCGCATCTATTTTCATCATTATTTCTTGTAATTTTATTGACCTAGTGTTGCAATAAATTTATTATGTGACAAGCGACAAGTGTTATCGATGGTTCAACTAGCCGACAATTCCCATTCGTTGGTCGTTTAACAGTACCATCGATCCATGTCTGGCTTTCAGGACCTAAACTGTTTTTTCTTTTACAGTTTTCTGTAAAATTTATCGATGGAAAAAACAGTTAAAATTTTGAGGATGTTTCCCTGGGTACCACCTGTCGGGCTATTTTTGCACAGTTAATTGCATAATTAGAAAAACAAAAGCCGGTTCCCAGTTAAACTAAACCGTGTTAAAAACAGGGAAAAATTTCAATTGTTTCAGACGATGACAATTAGGTGTAAACGAGGAATTTGTTTAATTATTGGAAGATGTTCACAATGAGCTATTTGCAAGGTTAGTAGACCTGCTTGTTATTAGAACATAAACACATGAATATTTATGAGACGAGGAATTACAAGAGCGATTTATTAATTAAATGTTAACGGTGAGGAAAAACCGGTTGAGATATGAAATGGTAAAAGACGCGAAAATGATTGACACGAACAAAAACTATTTTTTTTCAAAAAAAAAGCGAAAAAACGATGAAAAACTGCGTTATCAGAAAGACTTCAATGCAAAGTTAGACGCGAAATCATTATTTTTTACGCGATTTTGAGGCAAGTTGAGGTTTAAGGGTTTGTCACTTACCTCAAATTGTTTTTTTTTATCCTTACCTTAAATATTCATAGCAAAATTTTGAATAAACGTCCAAAACTTAAGTTTTTGAAGGACTTGAAGGCTTATTTTTCAAATTGTTTCATTTCCTCTCTAATTTAAACAAAATGGTAAGAAATTGGCCAAAAAGTTTATTTTTATAAAGTGACTTTAACGTAAAGTTGGACGCTAAATCGTTTTTTTATTTTTTAACAATTTTGAGGAAAGTTGAGGTTTGAGGATTGGTTATTACTTAAAATTGTTTTTTCTCATTTTTATTTTGAGTATTTAGTATTTTAAAGTGGAGAAATTTGATGAAATTGGTCAGAAACGAGGTTTTTCAAAGAGACTTCAATACAACATTAGACGCGAAACTTTTATTCGATTTTTCAGTAAGTAATTAAGTCTTGAGAAATGGTTGATTGGTTTAAATTTGATTTATTTGCTTTCTCATGTAATTATAAAAAGCAAAATTGGTAAAATCTAAGAAAAATTAGATTT